GGGGGGAGCCGCTGTCCTCACGCAGCACAGTGACTGTTGTCCGGCTGGCCGGCTGCTTTTGTCGTGGGGAGCGATTTGGGTTTGGACCCTGCCTTGGGACCCTGGTGGCAGTGGCGGGGCCCGGACGCTCGCGACCCGCCCCGAGATGGCCCGGGCGCCCGAACCATGCCGGCCTTCGTGGCCCGGGAGAAGAATGTCGCTCGCAGGAACCTAACTTTTTAACCCCCTGAGGGCTGGGTCGTTTTGTTGGTGGCAGTAGGCTGCCCCCCCCTACCTGGATCTACCGTCAGCCATCGCTGTACAGGTAGACCACGTGTGACTAAAAGACGACCCCAAAGCGCCAGCGCTGAGAAACCGAAAGGCACAGGAAGTGAAGAGACCTGTTTTGGGTCTCTGGAATGAACCTGTTTGTGTCGCCATGTCCACGTAGGGCCACTTTGGCCAGTGGCTGCATATCGGAGGGACTCTTGTTTGGGGACAGTGAACTGGGGCAGGTGGAGCCGCTGTGCCTCGAGGCACAAATGCCTTGAAGCTTCATTTGCATTTGCGTTTTGCTTGACCAGCTTAACTAACAATTTCCACTCAAATCGTGCAGAAGGGCCTCCGGTGTTTGCTAGACCCTGTCACCCCCTTCCCAACCCCTGTCACCCCTTATGCTATTCCCCTGGTAACAGTTGGCTCACTAAAATTGTGCACAGTCTGTTACAATTGTTAGAAAGATCAGAAAACAGGGCACAGGGCAGTAGGAAAAACCGTCAGTGACATTTCTGAGGTCATAGGCCCCAAGGAACGAAATCTGATTTTCTTGAACTTCATTACTCTGCTCCGACATCTAGCCCCTCAGTCTGTTCCAGCGCAGAGTGTGATGACAAAAGAACCCCTTTCTCTTTTACCCATGGGGCTTGAGGATCCTTCAGCACTCCATAAATAATAGCTGTTGTAATAATCATGAGTTCTGATCTGCACATCCCAGATCAGAACTGCTAATCCAAACAAAAGCTTGTTAACTGTATTAATTTAGCCTAGGAGGAAGAATGATGGGAATAAACAGTTGGTTCTATCTAATTTCTCACCACAGCAGACACATCATTCTTCATCTCCATGGTCCAGCCTGCAGATTCAATAATTAAATTATGTACTGCTCATGGTGGATGCCGGGAAAGCAAAGGGGAAAAATACTTCATTGTTAACTATAGATTTTTTTTTTCCTTGATAAGATTCAGGCTTGAAAGAGCTATAGAGATTAAGATGATGATTTTTAATGTCAAGTTGACTTTGCTTGGCTGTCTTGTTACCACAAAAATATATAATGCCCTGAGCGCCTGGTTTTCCTCCCCCTCCTAAATCCACCGCGTGGTCTTTGTCACACTCGTCTGTAGTCTCTGGGTCTTCATAGATCCGTCTCTCTTCTTACCCCACTGCAGCCAATGCATCACCACTTGCTGCTGGTCCTTCAACCACAACGTCATTAAGCTCGCTTCCTTCCTCTGCTCTGTAAAGACTGTCATACATAATTTAGTTACTTCTCATCATTCTCCATTTTGGTCAACTCACGCACTGCCTTCTGCAATAAATTCAAGTTCCTGCTTGCTGCAAACACATTACCCTGAATGTTTCTGCGTTTTACTGAAAGTCCCTCGTTTTAAAGATGACATCGTTCATAACACAGGAAACCCTCCTGATTCATGGCTTCACGACTTGAGGATTCAAATATTCTGCCACGACAGTGAAACAAGCAAGCAGCCGCAGGGGGAAATACATTCCTTAGTATATCTTCCTCATTAACACCTTGTACCGCCAGGTGTGACTGTAGGTGTTAAATCTCTCTTGTTAATACCTTGTATTTAGGCTTATAATTGAGGATCTTTCTCCACCTACTGCAGACACTGAGTTTCACTATGTTTTCAGCCATGTCTAGACTGTTGTTTCCTTGAGTAAGGAGAGGGGACTTTACATATGGACTTTCATAAGGATGATTGTCACCGCTCTTGGATTGACCCCTCTTTACAGACCTGCAGTCTACCTGTATCTGATCTATTGCATAAGCTGGAATATATTTCAATATCTTGAAGGGGGAGGATTCAGATTAAAAAAGCAGAAGTCAAGGTCAGATTCTTCTTGGGGCTACCTCAGAGAGGGTTTTGGATAGCATTCGTGGATGTCTGCTCTTGTAAGATCCTACCTACTGCTTCTCCCACCTCCTTTTCTTGCCAAGGTAAGAAGGAGACTTGTAAACAGGGAAACAAAGGCAGTGAGTCTGAAAAGTAGCCAATCAATCAGGACATCTATTTGTGTGGGGAAAAGGGCATGGGCCTTGAAGTTAGGCTAGACTTTGAATCCTAATTCCACTTCTTACTACCCCAATGACCTTCCAAGGTCTTCATGTCCTTGGAATCTCTGTAAAATGAACAACAGCCATTCAATCAACTATCTTGAAAATGAATTCTCTACGTTGTGGTAGATGCTACAAATACCACAAGGAACAATGTACACCAGTGCTTGCCCTCACAGGACCACACACACACACACACACACACACAAAGTGCAGAATGAGTGAACCTCACTGCTACCCCAGTTAATATAATAAATATTATTATAAGTTTTCTGGTGGAATATCTTCATTCTTAATTGGGTGGCCAGTAACATCAAAAATGATTTTTCATAGCCTAAAAACATCTAGAAGTGAAGTACCACTTTCACTGTTTTCAAAGGAATAGTTGTTTATGTATAATTCCATAATTCCAAACTAAAAAAGAACTATTAAACTTTAAGTAAGGGCATAACTATTATCTGCTAAACCACCGAAAAAGTCAAGGAAAATTCTAGGGAAAACAATGTCTTTGCCTAGATACACATGTTTATGTGTATGTTAAAGCAGAGGTCAGTTGTGTTCGATGAGAGGCATAGAGACTGCAAATTGGTAGGTCAGAATATTCCTATCAGGAAAAAAAATCGATATTTCTAAAAATAATTTTTATTTCAGTTTTTACCATGGGCATGTACACTCGCTGGAG